ATTCTGGCTGAACAGTCATTTAACAGTTTTTTAACACTTTGAAGAATCACAGTCAAAATGACCTTGATGGGTTGGAAAACTGGGCTGCAACTGACCAACTAAAATTCAACAGAGACAAATGCAAAGTTCTACATCTAGGCAAAAGGAAGCAAACGCACAGGCACAAGATGGGGGATACCTGGACTGGCAGTAGTATGTGTGAAGAAGATCTCAGGCTTGCAGTCAATCACACACTGAATATGATGCAGCTGTCCAAAAAGGGTGTGTGTGTGGAAAATAGTTTTCAGCTGCATAAACAGACGCATAGAAGTCACAAGAAGCAGCGTAGTGGGCTGAGCATCCGACTAGGAGCTGAGAGAGCCAGATTCAGATCTTCACTCTGCCATGGCAGCTTGCGGGGTGACTTTGAGCCAGGCACACAGTCAGCCTAACCTGCCTCACAGGGTTGTTGTGAGAAGAGAATGGAGGAGGGCAGAACGTTGTAAGAAGGTTTGGGTCCCCAATGGGGAGAAAAGCAAGGTATAAATGATATAAATAAATAAATAAGTTCTGCTCTACTCTGTGCAAGGTAGGCCTCATCTGGAATGCCCTACGTACTTCTGGGCACCACAATTTCAGACAAATTGGAATGGGTTCAGAGAAGGGCAGTAATTAATGTGTGTAGCATAGCCAGGCGATTTTAAGATTGTCTGGCAGGCAGAAGTTCTAGCTCTTTTAGCATTATGCAACACTAGGTGGCGAGCTAGAGTTGTTTGTAAGGCAAGAGATATTTCAGAGGTGGTTTGCCATTGTCTCCCTCTGCGTCCCGGTCCTGGTATTCCTTGGAGGTCTCCCATCCAAATACTTGCCAAGGCCGGCCCTGCTTAGCTTCCTACATCTGACGAGATCGGGCTAGCCTGGGCTATCCAGGTCAGGGCAGAAGGGCAGTTAAGATGCCTGGGGTCTAGGAGTGTCAATTTCAGTTGAACATTAAGAGAACCTAATGGTAGCGCAGTCCGAATGGTACCAATTACCCTGGAGGAGTGAAGGGCTCTTGGAGGTCTTGAAGCGGAGACTAGACAAGAAAACTCTCGCTTTGGATTTCCTGCGCTGTACAAAGAGTTAAACCAGACAACTTATAAGACCCGTTTTAATTCTAGGACTCTCTGACATTCCCTTTCCTCAGGGAATCCTGTGAGAAGAGGGCTCGAATCTCTAACAGAATCGTTGATACTGTCACCAAACTACAGTTCCCAAGATGCTTTATGGGAAACCATGCTAGGTAAGCTAGTATAAAACTGATAAAAGCATTTGTGACATAGATAAGGCCCAGGGTCATAGAACAATACGATACAAGAAACTTTGACCCACAGTTTTTTCTACCGTGACACTGGAGGCATGAATGAAAGTACTACTGGATTTCTCTTCCCTGCCATACCTGTCATTGATTGTAAGCTTTTTGGGGCAGAGACACCTGGCAGAAATTAGACCTCAGCAATCACTCCCTAAGTACGTGGCAGCCTCCCATGCGAGTTCCTTTCCTGGCGACAGGATTCTCAGATGGATGACTGATCCGGGCAAGTGTTCTCATGTTTTTGGCTGCTCCCTCTGTTGCTCTTTCTCTTTACACCTTTGGGGGGCAGCACTGTTCCTGCTTTGAACGTCCAGCTCTGCACATCTGAGCCCTCCTTTGGGTGACTGGCAGCCGCTTCTGCATCTAGTATAATCTGTGCATAAAACAAACTCGGGTGGGCTCCTGCTGCCGCCTTGTGGTGGCTGGGCATCCATGCTCATTGCCGATGCAGAATGTGCCCATATTTGTCCACGCTTCTGTTACAGAGAGCCACGGGGGTGTTCTGGCTGTGCAAAGCTGCCAGGCAGGTCCAGGAGCAGAGGGGCCAGCTGACTCCCTGAGGGGGCAAAAGTGGACTGTGGCACTACAGAGCTCCAGGCCAGGCAGGTTGCATGCTGGGAGATTTCTGCAGAGGCTAGTGGGACCTTGGGTGGGGTCCTGATGAGTACCTCCACTTTTCCAGCACTATCTGCTCTGGCTCCAGAAGAGAGTGGGGGAAGAACCAGTCCCTCAATTCCTAGGTCTGCTGTGAGCTTGCACACAGGGATACCACAACCGGTGATTTCTGTACCCACAGCTGGGGTTGCCAACCTCCAGGGAAGGGCTGGAGATCTCCCGGTATTACTTCTGATCTCCAGACTACATACATCACTTCTTAATTTATTTAAAACATTTATTGCTCTTCTCCTGGGGAAAATGGCTGCTTTGGAAAGCGGACTTCATAGCATTATACTCCAGCAAGGTCCCTCCCCCTCCCCAAACTCCACTCTCCTGGGCTCCACCTTCAGATCCCCAGGTATTTCCGAACCTGGAGCTGGCAGCCCTAATTTACAAATCTGCGTGTGGATGCCCAGGCATCGGGGTGAGTTTAAAATACAAGGCTTCTGCTACCCAAGGCACCCCTCTGGCTGTCACGGCACCTTTATTGGGCTAACGGGTCAGTATCTCTGTAAGAAACTCAGCGAACGCCAAGCGGTCCCTGAAAATGAACCCATGAAAGAACTTGAAGTCATTGTGCTTTTATGCTCCTGTTGAAGAGTTAACATAGTGCTTTCTGGAGTTGTGCATGTGGGTAAAGTGCTGTCATGCCGCAGCCGATTTACGGCAACCCTGTAGGGTTTTCAAGGCAAGAGGTGTTCTGAATTGGTTTTCCGTTGCCTGAATCTATGCAGCAACTCTGGACTTCCTTGGTGGTCTCCCATCCAAGTACTAACCGGGGCCAGCCCTGCTTAGCTTCTCAGAAATGATGAGATCAGGGTAGCCTGGGCCATTCAGGCTAGGGTTCTTGGGAGATACAAAGATGCAATTCAAAGGAAAGCTGGAAAGAGAGGATAAAAATTTCATTCATTCATTCATTCATTCATTCATTCATTCATTCATTCATTCATTCATTCATTCATGTATATAGCCTGCTTTTCTTGCTGAAACCCAAGGTGGATTGCATAATGTAAAACAGGGCAATCAAGACAGCATAAGGCAGCTGTTGACCTATGCAGTAGGATTAGGATTACAGAATTAGAAAACAAAGTGATCCATAGACTATCTAAAGCAAGGTAGGCTATAAACAATGCAGAAAGTGGAATTACAAGGTATAAGACAATGCAGTCAAAGCAGGTGATACCTACAAGTCAACAATCATTGCAGTAGACTTCAAACACATTCCATTATTAAGGTGCCCTGCCGGAGTGCTCCATTCTACTACAGTTCTAATCCCTTCATAAAAATGCCCTCCCGAACATTTCTGCTTTGTGCATTCAGACAAAAGTGGGTGTGGGGGCCTTCCCGGTTACCTCAGGCAGGGGCCATTTCACAAGTCAGGAGCCACAACAGGGATTGTTTCTGAGTGGGCAGTTGCTGACCTTACTCATTTGCAGGATGGCACCTTCAAAACGGCTTTGCTGTTATGAGAGAAGCAGCGCCAATCAGAACATAGAAAGGAATACATTAACAAATTGGGATTCATTAACAAGTAGGAATTCATTAACAAATTCAGCTGTGTTCTTTGTGCTTGGAGAAGGGCTTGGGGGTTTGAGAACAGGCAGGTTGTCTTGCTGGGGCAGAGCAAAGGTCTGTCATGCTCTGCCAGATGATGGCGGGCGGGGGAAGGGATTGCTCCAGGAGCTTCATTTCCATGCAGTGAGGCTCCAGCAAGCATTCTGGGCTGGCCCCCTTGGGCTGCATTTGTGCGCTCCGGATCTCTCGCCGCCTCCTCTGGCATACAGCCTTCCTACCCAAAAGCTGCCTTCCAGCCCTCCCCCCCACCTGAAAGTCCTGCCAGGGGGTTTCCCAACCTCTGGGTGGGTATGCAAAAGTATATAGCCCTGTGTACAATAGATGTATGTTCAAGGTAAATCAATGTTGTGCTTTTTATTTTTCTTTCTTAATTTTTCTATACTGTTCTATAAATATTGGTATACAATATTATCAAAAATAGGTTTCACCCAAACAAAACATCAAAGTACGGGTTTACATTCTGTACAAATATCCGGACAGCACCTTGTCGGTATTACAATCACTAGTCCCACGGGACTCTAGTAATTTACCCGTTTCGAATACAATCTTTTTCGAGGACTGTGATGTATATGAAGGACATAAGGCACAATAATTTCTCTTTGTGAGCACAAAAACTCTTAAGATAGCAGCAGATTTTCTAGGGTTCCATTGGAATCCTTGCGGCAGACATAATAACCTATCTAGGATAGCCTATCCCTCAGGTTCTATCAGGTAGCCAGGTAGACCTCTGCGTGGGGCCTGAAGGTCTCCCAGAATTACAGCTGATCTCCAGAGGACATAGATCAGTTCCCCTGGAGGAAATGGCTGCTGCGAAGGGTGGAGTTTATGGCTTTATACCCTGCTCAGGTCCCTCTCCAAAACCTGCCATCTCCAGGCTCCACTCCCAAATCTCCAGGAATTTCCCAGTCCAGAGTTGGCAGCCCTGCCAGCCACAAGTATCCATCTCTTCTGAAAAGTGCCTCATCTGCAATAGCGCTCATTGGTAGGGTTGCCAACTCTGGGTGGGGAAATTCCTGGAGACTTTCCGGGTGGAGCCTGGGGAGAGCGGGGTTTGTGGAGGGACCTTAGCAGGGTATATTGAGTCCACCCTCCCAAGGAGCCATTTTCTCCAGGGGAACTGATTTATATCACTTGGAGATCAATTATAATAGCGATAGATCTCCAGGTGCCACCTGGAGGTTGGCAATTCTTATCATTGGGCCCTTTTTAAATGCTATCTTTCCTCCTATGCTCCCCTTTTTCAAATTTTCTGTGTTGTGGATCTTTATTCAGGCTCAGGTCTCTCATTGCAGAGAGTCCTGCTGGTTAACGGCCTGTCTCAACCAGGGGAAAGGGGGGAAACGTGCCTCAGTGGCATGAACTTGGTTAAAGATTAAGGCAATACGAAACATTCATTCTGACCAGATTTCTCCCTTCAGGTGCAGATCTCTCAAGAACGGCCTGCTTCTCGGGTGCCATGTCCAGTGTGGAATTTGCTGCAGGATGGCTTTCTGGTAAGGCCTAAATTCCTCCCTCCTCCACAGCCCCTTCCTCAAAAGAACGGTTCTTCCCTAGTTCAGGAACTGAGGTGGCACCGGATTATTATTTGCGTAATGCCTAGAAGATGTTTTGGACACCCACCCCGTGGCCTTCACGTGATCACACCCCCTTTTCTGGAGTAGACAGTAGCTGGAGAATGGATATGAGTTGGTTTTGCTTCCTTAACCTATCAAACTTTTCCTGCCACAGATTTCCATTTCCCTCAGGGAAATGTGCCAGTGGCGCAAGTCTCCGTTATTCCTATTTCATCGATGAGTGGGGCTGAAAACAAAGTGCCTCCCCATAGCCACTCAGAGGTTATGGGGCTGAGGCAGACTTTAAACCCAATGCAGCACTCCGGTAAAGGTTGCCAGCTCCAGGTTTGGAAATCCCTGGAGATTTGGGGGGTGGATCCTCGGGAGGGGAGGGGAGAGAGGACACAGGAATACCATAGAATCCACCTTCCAAAGAAGCCATTTTCTCTAGGAAAACTGATCTCTGTCGTCCAGAGATCCGTACTAATCCCAGGAGATCTTCAGTCCCCACCTGGAAGTTGGCAACCCTCCAGTTGAACTGGCACCCCCCCCCCCCCACTAACTTCTCTTTCTTTTTGTGCAGGGGCAGCTGGGCTGGTTCTCGGGCACCCAGTGGACACTGTGAAGGTGACTTGCAGGGCTGGGAAATGTGCAGAGGGGAAAGAGGGAAGGTCCCTTCAGCTTTGGGGAGGGCCAAAGGGGGGAGATGCCAGCTGGAGGAAATTGTGGGTCGAAGCATCGGGTGCTTTGTGCAAACATGGTATATACCCTGTGTAAACTGCTAACATGGCGCTAGGTGCTGGTACTGGGTGTGGTGATCTGGGTTTTCAGCAGGCCGTGTCCTGTCCAGCAGCATTGCTTGGAGTAATCTGTGAGTGGCAAAATGACAGGCTCCCAGCAGTGTTCCCTCTAAGCTGTGCTAGGGGGCACTGGTACACAAAATTTTAGCTGGCTGCTCAAAGATTTTAGCTTTTAGCTCACAAGCATTTCCCCCCCTTGGACCCCCTGGTCCAATCTTTTTGAAACTTGAGGGGGTTTTTTTGAGAAGAGGCACCAGCAGCTATGCTGCAAATGTGGTGCCTCTAATTAAAAAAAACAGCCCCCCCAGAACCCCAGATACTCCCAGATCAATTTTCCATTAAAGCCTATGCGGCCCATTGACTATAATGATCCCCTTAGGCTATAATGGAGCAGAAAAAAATCTTCTTCTTTTTTTTGCACACCCCTATTATGCTTTTTGGTATGATTTGTAAGCTGCCTTGAAAAAGTAAAAGTGGGATATAAATATCTGGATAAATAAGTAGTTTGGGCAGGTTGATAACATTTAAACAACTTCCTGTTTGATAGGTTAGGCAGGGTCCTAACAGTGATTGTTCCACCTCTCTTACACTTGACCTGTAAATTTGCCATATTTTACTAAAACCCCCCCCCCCCAAAGTAGACTGGAAGAGTCCCCCCCCTCCCCAAGGGCTGGTATGTTTTCTAAGGCTCAGTGCAGGGCGACGGTCTGACGTCAAATCTACCAATATATTGGACTGGAGTGGGTAGACCAGTTCTCCAGAGGCCAGGTCTACCAATATAGTGGAAATGGGAGGGTAGACCTGTTCTCTGGAGGCCAGGTCTACCAATATAGTGAAATGGGGTGGGTAGACCTGTTCTCCAGAGGCTAAGTACCCATATAGTAGAAAGGGGAGGGTAGACCTGTTTTCAGGAGGCCAGGTCCACCAATATAGTGCAAATGGTTGGGTAGACCTGTTCTCCAGAGGCCAGGTCTACCATTATAGTGAAAAAGGGCAGGTAGACCTAGTCTCTGGAGCCCTGGTCTGCTCTCATAGAGGACAACATTTTCTTTTCTTTTTTTAACTCTATTTTTAATTAATTTTTATAACATTTACAACTCCACAACCATACAATGTAACTTAATAACTTAACTTTAAACAAATAGCAAATAATTAATCATAAACGTACAAAACCATATAAATCTAGAACATCAATCATAATATAATAATTCTTGTAGGTGTATATAGCAGATTTAAAACTAATACAATGCAAACTTATTATATTTAATAGGAAGAACATTAAATTTTTTTAAATACATCTTTATTAGTACTTCAAACAAAAAACATCACATAACACAACATACGTAAACACAAATTTGAATTCCAAGGTATAATACACATCTTTGCTATAAACAATAGTGCCTTCACATCCAATTATAGATATATCTAGCGAATTATACATTTTTCTGTAGCCAGCTGTAAAACTTAAGCCAAATATTATCAAATACATCATCATCCTTCCCCCGGAGCTTCATTGTGAGATTGACTCCCTTCAGTTTCTATATATTGAAAAAAGGAAAACCATTTTTCCAAAAAAATTGTATTCTTTTTAACACAACCATCCGCAATCAACAGTTGCATAGCAATTTTATCATTAACTACTATATCCCAAATTTTATCAAACCAAAGTCTCAATGTTGGAATTTTAACAGATTTCCAAAGTTGGGCAAGTGAGGTTTTTGCTGCCAGCAATAACAGAGCCACTATTTCTGTTTTCTGATTAGTCATAAATGAATCACTCCAACAATTTAATAAAAGAGACTCCGGAGAGTTTGGAATCCTTATACCAGTTATTTTTTCTATGATTGGCAACACCATTTTCCAGAATAATTGCACCTTTGGGCATGCCCACCAGCAATGTATGTACGATCCAATATCATTAGAACATTTCCAACATTGAGGTGAAACAATAGAATGACTATAGTAAAATCTTTGAGGTGTAAGATACCACCTGGAATTTTTTTTTATAATTTTGGAGTTTGATATTTAAGGATCTTGTGGTATATGCAGGTAAAGACCATATTTTAAACCATTTATCTTCTGCAGTGGCTCAAGTGGTTAAGACACTGAACTGCAGGCTGTGGAAGGTCAGTAGTTCAGCAGTTCGAGACCCGGGTGCCGCATGACGGAGTGAGCTTCCCATCTCTAGTTCCAGCTCCTGCCAACCTAGCAGTTCGAAAGCAAGAAATTGCAAGTAGATAAATAGGTACCACTTCGGTGGGAAGGTAACAGCGTTCCGTGCGCCTTGGTGTTTAGTCATGCCGGCCACATGACCACGGAAACGTCTTCGGACAGCGCTGGCTTTTCGGCTTTGAAATGAAGATGAGCACCGCAACCCTAAAGTCGGATTCGACTGGCTTTCGAGCAAGGGAACCTTTACCTTAATCTTCTGTAAATTGTGTTTGACAATCAGATTGCCAAGCAGTTTGCTGTGTTGTAGCAGAGGACCATTGTTTTTGATTAAGCAAAAATATATATAAGTTTCATAGTTCCCTTTTCTCCGAGGACAACATTTTATGTAATGAAATTTGATTTGATTCCGTTTTCTCTTATAATGTTTAAATTATTCCTAAAATATAATTTAAATATAATTTAAAATAATTCATTCTGAGATTTTTTTACAAGGTTATGGAAATAATCTTCTAAAAACTAATTTATGCAATAGCCAAATGTAGACTTGCTCACAACTTTAATGCTACTAGCTTTTTTAGCGCATGAGGCAGAATTTCTGCTCACAACACTGTGGAGCTTAGAGGGAACATGGGTAGATAAAGTCACCCACCAGTTTGAATCTGGGCTACCTTTCCTCAGTCAGGAACAGTTTTTCAGACCCCACCCCACCCTCCTCGCTCTACCAACTCTATCATGTTTTAGGTGCGGCTGCAGACGCAGGCTGGTTACCGAGGCATCTTGGACTGTGTGGTCAGGACGTACCGCGATGAAACGGTTTGCATGCGTCAAATGGGGCCGGGTCACCCTCTCCAAAGGCACCGAGCTGGCACCAAAATGGTGCTAGGTGCTGCCCAGGCAAAAGAGAAGCCTCAAACGGCCAAGTCCTGGTGCCCAAAATGGAGGCAGCAAACAATGAATGCAGAGGACGGGGGGGGGGGGCAATTGGATGTGAAGCGCGAGGGACCTTTTCGCAAGCGCCTTTTCTGCTTCACGGTACCAAGTACTCTGTTTCTATACTTGAGTCTTGACAATCCAGGGGAATAGTTAGTATTTTCTCCCCCCACCCCTTTTGCCAGGCTGATACTTAGGGAGACCCACGAACCTCAGAGCCAGCTTGAGCAAGATGCTCTCACTGACTCCCCCTGTGGATCGGGTTGCCAACCTCCAGGTACGGGCCAAAGAGCTCCCAGGATTACAACTGATCTCCAGGCGATAGAGATCAGTTCACCTGGAGAAAATGGCTGCTTTGGAAGGCGGACTCTATGGCATTTTTACCCCACTGAAGTCCCTCCTCTCCCCAAACCCCGCCCTCTTCAGTCTCCACCCCCAAAATCTCCAGGTATTTCCCAAACGAGAGCTGGCCAGCCTACCTGTGGGCCCTCCCGTCCACCATCCCCTCCCCTCCCTTCTCCTGCTGGCCAATCCCCACCACTGGCCAGAGGAGTGAAAGGGCAAGCCAGCAGGGCAGGGAGAGCTGCTGCTTCGTGCCCCTGTTGCTGCCTGCTCACTGGTGGGGGGGGCCTTGGTGGCCACGGCAAGGAGGAATAGCCAGAGTGGGAGGGGGCCCCCCAGGAACTGGCAGCAGAGCTTTGCCTCCTGACACTAGGCACATTTGGGCAAGTTACCCCTTGGTCTTCTGCATTCATTCGCATGGGGTCCATTACCCTATTGCAGGCGGGGTGCCCAAAAGGCAGCCTCCCTCCCCATACAGAGCCACGTCTGGATGGCAGACGGCGGGGACAAGCGAGGGAGGGTCATCCTCATACAGCCTGGCTTGTGGGCTTCTCTGTTGCGGAATCTGGGGAAAGGTTAGGTAGGCCTTTGATGCGACCCAGTGAAGCGTTTTTTACTTCAGCCTTTCCTTCGAGGCTCTGAGCTGCTGCCAGGACTGAAGTCTCTTCCTGCCATGCGCCCGCTGGATCCTGTAACATCCTCTTGCCGCTAAACATTCGGGGAGGGGGGATGTGGGAGCTGGGCTCTGGCCAGGGCCGGGTGTGCCGGGCACTAATCTCTGATGCTCTCCGAGGCAACCCAAATTGTGAGCAGAGGCAAGCCAGAGATAGGGCCTTGGAGAACCGATTCCTTAGACATGCCAGTTTCCTGTGTTTACACGTCTCCTGCTACTTGTGGGGAAGAGGAGGGGGCAGAGAGGCTAAAGTTCTAACCGTGGTTGGTCCCATGTGTCCCCTTTTCCTTCTGAGCTTCCCTCGGCATTGCACCCATGTTTCGAGGCTGCGTTCTGCAGCCCTTGAGGGCTTGATCTGGACCCCAAATCCCAGTCTTTATTTATGTAGGATTCTGGTTCTGGAGCTCCATGCGTGACAGACTATCTGAGCTGCCACCCGTCTTTGAGGGCTACCAGTTTCCCCCTCTGCTTCTCCCTTGCAGGTCCTTGGCTTCTTCAAAGGCATGAGTTTCCCGCTGCTCAGTGTGGCCATGGTCAACTCCATCATGTTTGGGGCCTACAGCAATGCCCTGCTCTACCTCAGCAACACCCACCACCGGGACCGTCGCTCCAACCCACCCAGCTACACCCACATCTTTGTAGCGGGCTGCTTCTCGGGACTGGTGCAAGTAAGGGATGGCTTGTCCTCTGGATTGTGTACGTGGGAGGGACAGCCCGGGCTAGCCTGATCTCATCAGATCTCGGAAGCTAAGCAGGGTGGGCCCTGGCCGGTACTCGGATGGGAGACCACCAGGGAAGTCCAGGGTTGCTGTGCAGTAGGGCTGCCAAGTGAGGGCGGGTGGCGGGTAAACCCCTGCTTTGGCAGCCCAATTTCCGCCGCTGCGGAATCGGGCCCCGGGGGGGAACCCCACCCCGGCGTGCGCGTCACCAGGAAGTGACGTTATGACGCCGGGCACGCTGGGGGTGGGGCCACAACCATCCGAGGGGAAACTCTATGGTTTCCCCTCGAATGGTCGTGGCCCCACCCCCAGCGTCATAACGTCACTTCCTGGTGACGTGCGTGCGACTCGCGCACGCGCTCCGGGATCCACCCGGGAGTCCCCTGCTGCGGAGGTAAGCTATACTTGGCAACCCTACTGTGCAGAGGCAGGGAAATGCAAACCACCTCTGAATGTCTCTTGCCTTGGAAGCCCTGCAGGGTCGCCCTAAGTCAGGTATAACCTGATGGCGCTTTACACGCACACAAATGTGTGGAAATGGGTGATTGAAGCTCTCCATGGCATGGAGGTAAAGAACGTTGTGTTAGTAGCCTACTCTCTGACGCTGAGCACAGTTGGACCTATGGTTAGTAATTGGATGGGAGACCACCGAGGAAGACCAGGGCTGCCACGCAGAGTCAGGCAATGGCAAACCACCCCTGAACGTCTCTTGCCTTGAAAACCCTATGAGGTCCCCATAAGATGGCTGCGACTTGATGGCAAAAAGAAAGAAAGAAAAAGGAAACAGGGCTTCTGCCTGCTTGTCCCCCCCCACCTCCATATAACCTAGGGTTGCCAACTCCAGGGTTAGAAATAACTGGAGATGTGAGGGTGTTTAGGGAGGGGCGGGACCTTGGTAGGGTATAATGCCATACAGTCCACCTTCTAACGCAGCCATTTTCTCTAAGAGAGGTGGAATAAGTGTTTTAAATAAATAATAAATAGGTGGTCTATGAGGTCTGGAGATCGGTCATAATTCTGGGAGATCTCCCCCTCCCCTTGGAGGATGGCAACGCTATTGTGACCTAACCAGCTGCCCCTATAGTATCATCTAGCTCCCCCCCCCCCATGGTCCTAAGAGACGTTCCGAGGCACCTTTTTATTGGCCGGTCCATTGTGGTCACCACGACAACTGCCTCCCTTCCTGGACCATTCCTTTCTTCTGTCTTGCTGAATTGGCCTTCCGGGGGAAAACCTGCACAATGGGAGGTGTCCAATATTCATTTGTATTCTTTAAAAAAATAGACATCTAATTAATTTTAATATGAACAGAACAAAAAACCTTTTGAAACAGTATTCAAGATTTATTTATTCATCCCCCCCCAATTCTCTTACCCCCCCCCCCAACATTATTCTTGCAATTTAACCTTATGGAAAATAATTAAGTAAAGCTATATCATAGTAAGGACACTGATCTATAATATAAACCTTTTATACTCCACTGATCTGGGGAAGGAGATTTTCTACCGCGTTGTGACATGAATCTCTTGGGCCAGGCCAGATCAACCCTCTCTCAGGGGAAGCCCCACAGGCTCTTTTCCATGGCTGAATGGCTGGGATGGCAGAGAGGTTCCCCCTTGTAGTCATTCCAGGTGGGCGGCTGTGTCAAGCTGCCGCAGCAAAAAATAAAGCAGCCATTTCAACGGCATCTTAAAGATCAACAAAATGTCTTCCAGCGGAGCTTTGTTGCATCAGAGCTCACTTCATCAGGTGCACAGGAATATACGCCTCTTGTGGGTTTCTTTTGCCATCAAGTTGCAGGCGACTTACAGTCACCCCGTAGGGTTTTCAAGGCAGGAGACACTGAGAGCTGGTTTGCCATTGCCAGTCTCTGTGAAGTGACCCTAGATTTCCTGGGTGGTCTCCCATCCAAATACTAACCGGAGCTGGCCCTGCTTAGCTTCTGTGATCTGACAAGATCCAGCTAGCCTGGGCTCTCCAGGTCATGGTGTAATTAGTAAATGCATGTACACTAAAAAAGCTGCAGAGAACAGAAAGGGAGGGGATATCACAAAAAGAGGAGAGTTTAAAGGAATATTTAGTCAAAAGAGTCATTAGCCCCTTCATCCATCCCCCTTTTACTTCACCTGCCACCTGCCATCTGCCAGTTTGGTGTAGTGGTTAAGTGCGCGGACACTAATCTGGGAGAACCGGGTTTGATTCCCCACTCCTCCACTTGCACCTGCTGATGTGACCTTGGGTCAGTCACAAGCTCTCGCACAGCTGTTCCTGAAAGAGCAGTTTCTGTCAGAGTTCTCTCAGCCCCACCCACCTCACAGGGTGTCTGTTGTGGGGAGGGGAAGGGAAAGGAGTTTGTAAGCCGCTCTGAGACTCATAAGAACATAAGAGAAGCCAATGTTGGATCAGGCCAAAGGCCCATCCAGTCCAACACTCTGTCACACAGTGGCCAAAAATACCAGGTGCCATCAGGAGGTCCACCAGTGGGGCCAGGACATTAGAAGCCCTCCCACTGTTGACCTTTGTTCACCCCCTCAAAGAACACCAACAGGTTAGTGAGACAAGATCTTCCCTTACAG